GACATCAAAACTCAGCTCATTTGTTAAGATCGAGTCCAAAAGCCAGCGTGAATCATCGAGGAGCGACTGGACGAGAAAGCTGCTTGTCCCCAAGAGGGCCGGCCTGGCGGGGCTGGGCACAGAGCAACCGCCACTCCCTGCACCTGGACGCGCAGGCTACGTGCCTGGCACCAGCGAGGTGAGCGCTCCGCGGGGATGACCTCACCCCGCAGTCCCAGGGCCCGCGGGGGCGATCGGCGCCCTCTTCTGCAGCCTCGCCCGCCCCGCGAGCAGTGCCCGAGGCTCCGCCCTGCAGCCCGAGCCCAGGTGAGCCCGGGGCCCAGCGCAGCCAGCGTCCCCACCTCGGTCCGCACCAGCACCCGCACCAGCACCGGGGGGCCGCTCCGGGACGCGGGTGGATGCTCTCTCACATAGGGGAAAAATAAATCAAGCTTAAAATTCTAAGGGGCTCCTCCTCCTATCAGGCAGCCGCCAATCCGAGGGCGGAGGCCCGCGAGATCGGAGTCCCGGGGGCTGCTCGGCTGTCCGGGGCCGCGATCGTCCCTCCCTCCCTAGGGAGTCGGCCGAGGGGTCGGCGTGCCTCGGTTTCCCCGCCTGGCAAACGGGCGCGCGCGCACGCACCTTCCTCCCCGTAGCGGTCGAAGATCTCGCGCTTGCGCGGGTCGCTGAGCACGTCGTAGGCCTCGGCGATCTCCTTAAACTTCTCCTCGGCGCCGGGTTCCTTGTTCTTGTCCGGGTGGTAGCGCAGCGCCTGGCGGCGGTAGGCCCGCTTGATCTCCTCGTCCGAAGCGCCCCGGGCCAAGCCCAGCGTCTGGTAATAGTCCTTGCCCATGACCCCCCGCCTGCGGCCCGCTGCCCAGCTGTCGCCGTCCCCCGGCTTCGCCGCCTCTATATCCCCGTCCGGCGGAAGCTTCCAGAGCCCGCCAGCCCCCTCCAGAACCTTCCGCCCCGCCCCCTGCGCTGCGCTGCCCAATCGCCGCCGCTCGATCCGTGACGAGCGACATCCGGGGCGGGGCAAAGCCGCCAACGGTCGCGCGGGGCCACGCCCCTTCCCGCTCAGCTCTCGGCAACGCCTCCCCGCAGCGCGCGCAGCCTAGAGGAGGCCCCGCCTACTACCCACGGAGAGCCAATCATGACCTTTTTCTACCACCTCCGCTGATCGGACCTGCTGCGCACTCCGCCCTCTGCCTATGTCAAAGGGTTACGACGTCAGCGAGGGTCAAACATGGAAAGGGCGGGGCTTATAAGGCTCCGCCCTTCTGGGAATGCCCCGCCCCTTCCCTGGGAGATGATAAAGCTGCTGGTCCTCCTCTCACTGCGGCAGAGGTGTTCGGTTCTGCCCAGTGACTGTTGGCAGGATGACTAACCTCTCTGTGCCCCAGGTGTCCCTTCCTTTAACACGGAACTGGAAGTACTTATCTGCTCTGTTCTCCAGGTTGTGGGAGAATGGGATTGGGAACCCCAAGACCTGCCTTGTCTTCACCATGCAAAGTTCCTAGGGAGTGAAGTGAGAATGGGAGCTCATCTCCAGGGATTCGTCTTCCCAGCCCAGACACTCACGTCTTTCACTCTACCTTATCTCTTGAGCACCTGCCACTAAATCTGAAATTACAACTGTTCCTTGACTTTTTTTTAAATCATTACTTTATTATTTCCTTTTTCTTTTTTTTTTTGGAGAGTTTTTTTGCTATAGGGCGCATGTGCTTGCCAGACAGACAGAGAGACAGAAAGCGAGAAATCACCCCCCCAGGGGGGATGGTCACGCCACAATCCCTTCTCCTCCATTCTCCTCTCGGGATCTTGGGTCTCGTCCATTCTCCTGTCGGGATCTTGGGCATGCACACACATGCGCTCGGCGTGAGTTTTAAGCCGCCGGGTTCGGGATGCAAACGCGGTCAACTACGTGGGAGTCCAGTGACATAGCCATTACGCTAACTGCTGGTTCCCTTATTTTCTTATTTCTTTTAATTGGACAAGATAGGACAGTGAGAGAGAGTAAGAGAGCAAGAAAGTAAGCCACCAGGTCAGGGACTCAAACCATGGTAGACCACATGGGAGTCCAGCGCGTTAATCAGCAGGCTACCTGCCCGCCCCTCCTCGACTTTTCTTTCTTTCTTTTTTTCTTTCTTTCTTTCTTTCTTTCTTTCTTTCTTTCTTTTTTTTGGCTATAGGGTACATGTGCTCACCAGAGAGAGAACAAAAAGTAAGAAATCATCCTCACTCCGAGGGGGGCGGAGTGGCCTCCCTGCAATCCCTTTTCCTCCTGTCTTCTCTTGGGATTTTGGACACACGCATGCGCCCAGCATGATTTTCAAGCCACTGGGTCTGGGACTCAAACCACACAACTTAAGTATTTTCATGCTATTTTCTTTGAGCTCTCCTAGAGTTTTAACAACAAAAATCAGCTTCGGACCTTCCAATGAACTTGAATAAAGAATCAGTCGATTCTGAGGATATTCCTTTGCCTTGGATTGTCTTTTCTCACTGACATTGTGTACACCTTTATTAATGGGTTATAAGTTATTTATGTAGCAGATAATATACTTTTAAACATTTTTATGTTCTCCGATCTTTAGAATTATTTATGTTCAAATTTTAGTTGGGAATCCTGTTTCCTACTTAAACTCAGGACTTTATAACCTCTGAATTGAGTGCCTTTGAGTTCACACGCTAATAGAAATGTCATATTAAGTGTAAATAAGGCTGGAGGATCTACTATAGAAGCTGATAATAAAGCATTAATGTAAAAGTAGAAAGAAAAAAAAAACAAAAAACACACAGTCGGCCATGTAGGAGCCATACCATGTAGTGACCGCGGTTCGAGTCCCGGACCCAGCAGCTTAAACTCACACCGGGCATGTGTGTGTTTGTGTGTGTGTGTGTGTGTCCAAGGTCCCGAGAGGAGAATGGAGGAGAAGGGATTGCGGCGTGGCCATCCCCCTGGGGAGTGATTTCTCACTTTCTGTCTCTCTGTCTCTCTCTGTCCTTCTGGCGAGTTCACATGCCCTATAGCAAAAACCTTTCTTAAAAGAAAAAAAAAATGATTGTAAAGTGCTCTGGACAGGCCTGGCACAGAGGAAGCACTGTCAAAGGGGACTGTCTGTTTAGCAGTGGGCAGCTGATCCACGCCCTTCCTGGAAGCAACACAGCCAAGAGCTTCCGGAGAGTGTCATCCCTGGAGAAGAAGGCCATGGCTTTGCCCCGCTGTCTAGTAGGGGGATTCTGGCCTTCCCTGGGCACGCACCACGCCCGAAGTCACCTTACCGGAAAGGACTCTGAATGAGGACACACACCAGCCCACCTGAGTTTAGGGCTGGGAGCCAGCAAAGTCTACTACCAATTACGGGGGCAGAGAATTCGATTTTTCTTTTAAATTTGCCAGAGGGCACGTGTGCTTGTACAAGAGGGAGGGGCAGGGAAAGCGCCCTCCGCCATGGGAGTTGATCACACAGCCATCCCTTCCCCCATCTCTCCTGCCCCTTGGGATTTGGGGCATGCATGCTCATGCAATTGGCGTTGAACCACATGTAACTGGTCATCTGAGATCCAGCTTTTTTTTTAAATTTTAATTTATTTAACTTTATGTATTTATTTTAATTTGATCAGAGAGGGAAAGGGGGAGAGAGAAAGAGAGAGAGAGAAAGTGAGAAAAGCAAGCTGCCAGGTCCGGGACTCAAACTGTGGTTGGCCATGAGGGAGTCCAGTGTCCTTAGCCACCATGCCACCTGCTGGCCCCAAGAGATCCAGCTATGTAACTAACAGGATATGGGCTGGCTGGAGAACTGGGTTTTATATATATATATATAATTATTAATGTGTTTATTTTGCTATAGGGCATGTGAGCTCACCAGAGAGTTGCTGGGTCAGGAACCCGAACTACAGTTGGCCATGTGGGATCCAGCATCCTGAACCGAAAGACTAGCCCAAGCTAATAATTTTTAAAAATTATTTTATTCAATTTCATTTATTCATTTGTTTCTTTTAATTTGACCAGAGAGACATAGAGAGAGGAAAGTGAGAAAACAAGCCACCAGGTCTGAGACTCGAACTATGGTCAACCATGTGGGAGTGTCCAGCACCTTAACCACCGCGCCACTTGCTGGTCCCCAATAATTTTGGTTTTTAATTGCCAAAGAGCACACGTGCTCGCTAGAGAAAGAGTGAGGCAGAGAGAGACAGAAAGAGACAGGAAGAGAAAGCACCTCTCATGGGGTATGGTCATGCCACAATCCCTTCTCCATTTCTCCATCCTTTCGGGATTTGAGGTATGCAAGTGCACATGCCTGAAGAGTTTTTCAAGCCACTGGGTCCAGGACTTGAACCATAGGATCACCCATATGGGCTCTGGTTGCCTCAACCACCAGGCCATGGGCTGGTTCAAAGGTTAATGTTATGTGTCAGTTTGACTAAGTTCTAGAACCTAGTTATTCCTTAAAAACAAACAAAAAGGGACCGGCAGTTGGTATGGTGGTTAAGGCATCAGACTCCCTACGTGGCTGACTGCAGTTCGAGTCCTAGACCTAATGGTTGCTTTCTCACTTTCCTTTTCTCTCTTGCTGTCTCTCTCTGGTCAAGTCAAAATAATAATTATAGGGATCAGCAGGTGGCGAGGTAGTTAAGGGCGCTGGACTCCCACGTGGTCGATCGCGGTTCAAGTCCTGGGTCTGGTGGCTTGGTTTCTCACTTTCCCTCTTTCTCTCTCTCTGGTCAAATTAAAGTAAAATAAAAAAATAAAGTTAAAATAAAAACTAGTTACTAAAAAAGGACAACAAATAACATTTTAAAAATTCTTTAAGCAAACAAAAGCTATAGTCATAAAACCCAATGAATGAGCGTTTACTGCAGCTTTCCTTATCAACCACGCTGGGCTGGCAGGCGGTGTGGTGCGTAAGGCACTGGGACTCCCACATGGCTGACCGTGGTTTGAATCCTGGACCTGGCTAACTTAGATGGCTGCATGCATACACAAATTGTGGTCCAGCCACACAATGGAATACCATCCCACCGTGAAAAGGAACGAGCTCCAGTCCCAGGAAACAATACGGGTGGACCTCAAAGGCATTGTGTTCATGAAAGAAGCCAGACTCAAAGGCTGTGTGATTCCATTTTATGTGAACGTTCTGGAAAAGGGCAAAAGTATCAACAGAAACAGCAGGTCCGTGGCTGCCAAGGCTGAGATCTTTTCAGTGAGGTAGAGGGGACTTTTGTTGGGTGACTGAAAAATGCTGCATCTTATTTATTGATTGTTTGTTTTTAGTTTATTTTAGGTTTTTACCATAGGCCATGTGTGCTCGCCAGAAAGAGAGACAGAGACAGAGGGAAAGGAGAAATCACCCCCCCCTCCTCAGTGCCCTTAACCACCACGCCACCTGCCGGCCCCTCGGTGGCTTGCTTTCTCACTTCCTCTCTCTCTGTCTCTCTCTGATCAAACTGGAAAAGAATAATGACCATACTAATAAATAAAGTTAAATAAAATAATTCTTTTTTTTTAAAAAAAGAATTATTTTATTTTATTATTATTAATTATTATAATCATCTCATTTGACCAGAGAGAGGGAAAAAGAGAGAGAAAGAAAGTTGCCAGGTCCAAAACCCAAACCGTGGTCAGCCATGTGGGAGTCCAGCGCCCCAATCACTATGCTACCTGCCGGTCCTCCAGCGTGAATTTGAAGCCACCAGGTTCAGGACTCAAACCATGGTTGACTCTGTGGGAATCCTGCAATGTAACCATTGCGCCCTCTGCTGGTCCCTATTGTTATTATTTTTTAAAATTTGCTATTGGGCATGTGCACTCACCAGAGAGAGACAGAAAGGGAAAGTGAGAAAGCAAGCCCCCAGGTCTGAACCAGAACCATGGTTGACCATGTAGGAGTCCCGTGCCTTACCTCCACGCCACCTGCTGGTCCTCAGGGTTCTTTATCATGATCGTGAAGATGGTTGCACGCCTGTATGTGTTCAGAATCGCACACCAAAAAGGGTGAAATTTTCTGTATGTAAATTATACCTCAATAAAAAAAAAAAAAAAAAGCAGGGACCAGCAGTTGGTGTAATGGCTAAGTTTCTGGACTCCCCTGGAG